CTGGACAGGCCTAACTTACATGAGCAAGCAGTGTTCAATAGGTGCTTAGTGTTATCCCAGCTAATGACAATGGGGGTATTTGCAACGCTTTTGTAGACTGAAAGTTAGCTCCCAACAACCCACCTTAGCAACATACGCTTTCCTTAAAATTAGGCCTTGCAACTCTGAACTATACCGTTTTGAGAAAGGGGTCTTGAAAAGTTATGCCGCGTAAAGACTACGCACTGCCGCATAGCCTATTCTCCCGTCACCGTCTTGAGCGTTCATTCCAACATAGTCACTGATGAGGCAATATTCCATTAGCATGGTACTAAGAAGCGACATTTTTAGGCAATATCTAATCCTCGAGGATACTGAGATTCACGTAGTTCACAAGGCGCGAAGCACATTGGCTTGCAAAACGGATTGACAAATCGTGGGACCACAGCACACGCATGTGGGTTCTCACGCATACTGTCCACCACAAGCCAGTTATCCCTGTGTGGTAACTTTTCTGACACACTGTAACGTCCACCGTGAACGTTGAATAACGCGTAGCCAAAGATCCCGAAATCAAAACAAGTCGGATCACAAATACTACGGTACTATTAAAATATATACAGTTGATAATTGGGACATACTTCAATTGTTCAGTATCCCGGTGTATGCAAGTTGACAACAAGGTGTCAGTAAACAATAGGAGGGAACGAGTTGTCTACGCCGGACAATCAAAGGAACAAGTCACCACACCTGAGTGCTACGAGTATTAAGAATAATGGCGTTGACCAATCAATGGATGGTCCAATCACAGGGTGAGAGTTTAATGGCACGCATAAACATGGTGTTTGGACGAGCGACCAGTGAACGGGGGAGGGGTGCGACACATGCTCCGGGCTGAACGTGTCATGTTCGGCGAAGAGTAGGGTTGGAGATCCAAGGTCGTCGGTAGCCGCACACGCACGGAACCAGTGCCGGGGATTAGCATGCACACACAGACACACCTACAACGCTAACAATGGGAATGTAAGGAGGCGCACGTGAACGCTGGTCGATATCCATCAACGATCGGCCAAGGTCTGTAGACTAGACCACGAAGCGAAGAGTAGAAGAATTTCATGGGTAGATAAGCGCGTTACACTGCCTCCGAAATTCTGCTGCGATTGACGTCTCGTACGTCCCCGACTCCACTCTGGCTCTCGGTCCTACAACTGCCTACAGTAGCGCTCCTTAGAAAAACAGAAGGGAAAGCAACGCAACCACACGAGAGCGTCTTGGCAGGAGCCGTTTTCCATGACTCCCACCAAGCGCCGTTCGTGGGCGTCTTTGGGCATCGAAGCGCTTGGGTGAAAGCCGTTTTCCATGACTACCACCCTGCACTCCAAGCCAGACTTAAGCGCTGCTACTCATCGCCCTCCAGGCGGCACACCTTTCTGACATCTCTTTTTAATATACCTGAGTTCGTTCTAATGTACACCGTCCTTACTAAACCGTCATTGCTGGCTTCACAACTCACGACTCGACCCAGCGGCCAACAACCCCTTGGTAGTTTCTCGGAAGCCACCAACACTAATTCGTCTTTTTCTACAGACTTGGTCGGAAGCTGCCACTTCTGTCGAGATTGTAATGTTGTTATGTATTCTTTTAACCATCTCTTCCAGAATCCCGTGGCTACGTGGGCTACTTGCTTCCAGCGCTTAGTATACCTGTCTCTGATGTCGATGTCTGGTAGCTGCAAGGTTTCGCATCGTATGAGAAGTAGGCTGTTCGGGGTTAATGGAGGAGCATCTTGGCTATCGGAGGTGGGTGGAACTAGCGGGCGATTGTTTAGAATCCGTTCTACCTCGACGAATACAGTGGCTAGGGAGTCATCAGTAAGGCGTTGCTCGTTGCATACGCCGTACAATATTTTCCTTACAGAGCGGATAATTCTTTCCCACACCCCGCCCCTGTGACTTGCAAATGGTGGATTGAAATGCCATTGCACACCACGAAGGCATAGCTCTCCGTCAATCCGTTTTTGATCCCATTTTTTAACACCATCACGTAATTCCCTAACCGCCCCGACGAAATTCGTTCCGTTGTCACTATATACTTCTGATGGGCAGCCCCGTCTGCCGACGAAACGGATGAACGCCGTAATGAATGCATCAGTCGAGAGGTCGTGGGCTGCTTCCAAGTGCACTGCCCTGGTTTGCAGGCAATTGAATATGCACCCAAAGCGCTTTTCCACAGTCCTTCCTCGCTTTACAACAATAGGGCCAAAGTAATCCACACCCACATTCTTGAAAGGAAACCAACCAATTTCCGCCCTGGCACAGGGTAATGGTGCCATCTGTTGCTGGCACGGAGTGGCGGTGCGCTTCCAGCAGCGGATGCAGCTTCCGACCACTCGCTTCACTGTTTTAGCTCCATGCAGTATCCAGTACTTGGTGCGGATCGCACTTAGCACGTGATGCACTCCACCGTGGCCTTCTGAGACGTGGAAATGACGCACCAGCGCCTCGACAACTGGGTGCCTACTGGGAAGGATAGCAGGGTGCTTCAAACTCTCCTCGTAGTCCGTGTAGTTCAACCGCCCTCCGACGCAGATAATTCCCTCGATCAGAGTTGGGTACAGGCGACGGATTGGGTTTCGTTTTTTCCATGCGTGACTAAGGTGGGTCGATTGATTGCTGCACGCTTTAAGGTTTGTCAGTTCGTTGCTGAACGTCTCGCGTTGCACCATGCGCAGGATGTCTTTCCTGGCATCTTCTATCTCGGAAACTAACAGCGGACCTCTAGCAAATACCCGATGCGCATTGTGACGGGATAGTAACCAGCATTTGAAACGAACCAGCCAAGCTACTGCCTTCAGTAATTTGGCCCAACTCGAAAAATACGTCAGCAGTGGGTTCGCGGGGTTTGTTGATGTAGCATTTATGGAACTACTTGGCTTTTTTAATTCCACATTTGCCATGCTTTCCGTTGGGGTATACCCGTCTACCCAGGAGCAGTCGGTTTGCAGGAGAAAATCCGGTCCTCCTACCCACGCTCTCCATTCGCTCAACTTCAGGGTTCCCCTCGAGGTCAAGTCTGCTGCGTTATCCTTCGACCGAACGTGGTTCCATTGCGTCGGTTCAGACAGCTGTTGTATGGCGGCAATTCGGTTAGCGACAAATGTACTGAATCTTGTCGACTTATTATAGATGTAGTGCAGCACGATTTGCGAGTCGGTCCAATACCGTGTATCTCGTGGACTCATACTCAGACTATCTGCGAGTATCTGATTAACTTTCGCTGCCAACACTGCAGCTCCAAGTTCTAACCGGGGTATAGATGTTGCCTTCAATGGAGCAACTCTGGATTTTGCAAGCAAGAGAGAGCAATAAGGCCGACCCAACGCAGAGGTGTGCCGCAAATATGCGACCACACCATACCCAATTTCAGAGGCATCGCTGAAAATGTGCAGCTGTGCGCGTTGCTCAGAGGTCTCTATGCTCCGCAGCACACAACGAGGAACCGAGAGTTGGCCAATAGATAAAGTGTGATTAATCCATTGCTTCCACTCTTGCTCGTCTGACGGCTGGAGAGGGTCATCCCAACCCAGTCCTCTTCTACACAATTTCTGTAGAAGCACCTTGGCTGGTAGAAGCAAAGGACACACTAATCCGAGGGGATCGAACATCGATGATACGGTTGACAGGATGCTCCGTCGGGTCGCCGGGCAGTTGCGAACGCTGAATCGGAACCAAAACTGATCTGTCTCAGCGTTCCATTCGAGCCCAAGCGTACGATCATTGCAGTGCGAGCCAACAACGAGTTCTTTAGGCGCTCGTGCCCACTCGGTAGGGGATATCAAATCTAGGGCCTTCGTCTTATTCGAGATCCATTTCCGCAGCCTGAATCCCCCTTTGGCTAGCAGTTCACATATGTCGTGGGCGAACTGCGCTGCTTCCTCTACTGAACTCAATGATACCAGGCAGTCATCTACGTAGAAACCATTGGTGATTGCATTCGTTACCGTAGCGTTGTATAAATGACCGAAATCACTCACCGTCTTGCGAAGGGCATAAGTGGCACAAAACGGCGAGGACGTCGCCCCGAATGGGTGGGCGGTCATCTGGTAGTCGACAGGATCACTAGACAGGTCGCCTTTTGGCCACCACAGAAACCGCAGTGCTCCTTGGTCGTCCTCCGGCACCTTTACCTGCATGTACATTTCTTCCACGTCTGCTGCTAACGCCACTAAATTCTTCCGAAACCGAGTAAGTACTTTGGTCAGGTTCGCAGTGACGTCGGGGCCCTGGCAGAGTTGGTCATTTAGGGACAGACCTCGAAATTTCGCCGCACAATCCAAAACCACTCTAAGTTTCTCCGGTTTCTTGGGGTTAACTATCGCGTGATGAGGTAGGTACCAGCACCGAGGTCCGGTCTTCGCCGGAGCTCTAACCGCATAACCCTTATCCAGCATCGAGTTTATTGACTGCGTGTATTTGGAGAAAAGTCCGCCATCTCGCAGTAGACGACGTTTAAGGTACGCTAGCCTTTTTCGGCCATAACCCTGTTACTAGATAGAACTTCGCTACCGTCTCGCCAAGGGAGAGGAACAACGTAGTGTCCATGTACTAAGCGCGTCCCCGCCTCGGTCTTAGCAACTACCGCTGAATCCTCACATGACATGGATAGTTCAAGAGCATCAAAGTCTGAAAATTCAGCGTTGTACAGCATTTGAATTTGGTCAGCAATGGGTATGTCCGCCGCCCAGATGCCGTTAACGGATGCAACTCGACGCATCGCGGATCCCAGAGGGCCCAACACAATCCAGCCCAGCAAGGTTTTGATAGCGTACGGTTCCTTGCAACCACCAAGTCGTTGGTCTAACACCCAATGAGCCTCCGGAATGTCGCAACCAATCAACAATGATATCCGCGGGTCGCGGATCTCTTCGAAGTCGAGATCGGCCAGGTGCGGCCACTTGCGCGCCTCCGCTTGTGTCCCGTGACAGGATGCTTGAATAGGCAGACTAGGCACTGCGAACGCGCGCTCTACCTCAATCTCTTCTAGCCCGTTTAGTGAACGCAAGTAGAATTTGACCACGGAGCTATCCATACTGCGGTCTCCGTTGATCGTCGTAATCGTCAAAGACGACGGCTGTGGCTCCAAACGGAGGCGGCCGACGAGATCCTGGGTGATCAGTGTTGTATCTGAACCGTTGTCGAGAAGTGCATAGGTTTCTATCGACCCGAACGGACCGAACACAGTCACCGGAATCACCCCAAGAGCGACACAACGCGAGCCCGCGTCTGTGACTCCGCAGCGAGCCTGATCTGTGGATACTGCGTGAGTTAACTTGGGGACTTCGCCACCATGGAGCAGGCTGTGATGACGAGATTGGCAACCAGCGGCATTGCAGGCTCGGCGAATGCCACAGTTTTTGGCGATATGGCCCGGTCTTAAGCAACCGAAACAGAGGTTCTTGGTTTTTAACATTTCCCATCGTTGCGATATGTCCAGTTCTCTAAATATTCCACACTCCACGGCCAAGTGGTTGTCCGAACAAACGGGGCAGGAGTGGGTGGGGCGGGCAGGCGACGTAGTTCTCTGACCAGCGTAATGGCTACTTATCGCCGGATACTCTTTCCTTGGAGGAGCTCTCGTAACAGTCGTTTCGACACCACGGGGTGATCGATCGGCTAACTGTCCGAACCGGCTGCGAGCTATGCGTGCCCGCGATGAAACAAATGTGGTTAAATTCAGAAAACTGGGCTCATGACCACTAAGCGTTAGCTGATCGACGATTTCGGCCCATTTGTACTGCAGGGGCTTCGGTAGGGCACGGACTATCTCTTCTAGGGTGGTGGAGGAGTCTACATCTGCCTCATAGTTCATTTGTTTCAATGTGATGTGGCAGTTCTCCATCTTAATGGCCAATTCCGACAGGGCATCTGCGTTGTTGGGAATGGACTTCGCGCCTTGAAGTAGGCCTTCTATCGATGCCCTAGCAATGTAGTGTGCTTGCCCGAAGAGGTCTCGAAGGATACGTCGAGCTCTTTCATAACCCTGACCGGGCGGCAGCATTACGCAGTTGCCAATAGCCAGTCTAGCTCGTCCCTTACAGTAATGAATGAGGTAGAGCAGACGTCTTCCGTCATCTACCACCTTGCTCTCCACATAGAACTCAAACTGCTTGACGAACCTCCAGTAGTCAGCTGGGTGCCCATCGAAATAAGCCAGCTCTACTTTGGGGAGACCAGCTTCCGCAATAAGTGGGACGAGAGCGGACGCTATAGCGTTTCCCAACGTGGCAGTGGGGGGGTCAATCGGCAAATCGTCATAACAACCGGCGGATGGTTGATTCGCAGCCACCGCAGCACATTCCGTGACAAACTCGTCAACTCTGTTTGACGAATAAATAGGGAGTGCGGGCAGGTCTACATCGCCTTGTTCGTCTTCCAGCAAGGCGCTACGCTGGGCGAATTCGACCTCCTGTCTAGCCTTCAACAGTCTACGCTGTTTGCTAAGTTCCTGCTCCCTAGTTTCTAGTTCTAGCTCCTCCTTGAGCTGCTTTTCTTTCAACTCAGCAAGCAGGAGCTGTGAGCGCGTACTGCTAACTGAATTTCTAGAGCTAACCCGAGAGCCAGAGTGAGAGACAGCATCAAGAGGGACTTGCCTTGACTTGGATGAGTCCTTTGTCCGGGTGGATGCGCGGGTGACTGGCATTGCGAAGAGGAACCAATTTGGCACTTCCGGATACGAGTACCACCAAACCGAGGGATCCAATTAAGCAATCCGTCGAAGCGAGAACCAATTGAATACTGTAACGTCCACCGTGAACGTTGAATAACGCGTAGCCAAAGATCCCGAAATCAAAACAAGTCGGATCACAAATACTACGGTACTATTAAAATATATACAGTTGATAATTGGGACATACTTCAATTGTTCAGTATCCCGGTGTATGCAAGTTGACAACAAGGTGTCAGTAAACAATAGGAGGGAACGAGTTGTCTACGCCGGACAATCAAAGGAACAAGTCACCACACCTGAGTGCTACGAGTATTAAGAATAATGGCGTTGACCAATCAATGGATGGTCCAATCACAGGGTGAGAGTTTAATGGCACGCATAAACATGGTGTTTGGACGAGCGACCAGTGAACGGGGGAGGGGTGCGACACATGCTCCGGGCTGAACGTGTCATGTTCGGCGAAGAGTAGGGTTGGAGATCCAAGGTCGTCGGTAGCCGCACACGCACGGAACCAGTGCCGGGGATTAGCATGCACACACAGACACACCTACAACGCTAACAATGGGAATGTAAGGAGGCGCACGTGAACGCTGGTCGATATCCATCAACGATCGGCCAAGGTCTGTAGACTAGACCACGAAGCGAAGAGTAGAAGAATTTCATGGGTAGATAAGCGCGTTACACACATATTGCTGCAAATTCGGATTATCAAATTCAAAAAGATTAATAAGCGACGCTTTCACGTTCTGTATTCTTATTGATAAGATGTTGGACCATCTTTCCTTCCCCTTTTTTGACCGGTATGTCATTGTTTAGAAGCACTCATCCCACGCCAGCGTCTGTACGCCGATGAACATGATAAAAATACCTAACCGCGTAGTCTATTCTCATATCACCATCCCGTTCACATCCTCCCCCTATTCCTTAGGCGTAACCATGAAAACTAATATTGGCATTGTGAACCAAGTTGCTTAGAAGTGGTCATTCTAAGCGCTGTCAATTCGGCTTTGGTAGTTGAATGCATTCTGGTCTGACGCATATTCGGCATCACTTGCCCGTGCACCAAAGTAGTCCAGAAATCAGTGATACCGGTAAATGCGTATATAAAACTTAAACAGCAGAAAACGATTATATGTCCGTCAACGAAAAAAATGTTCATCGTGCCCACAGTTGTTTTGCTTGCAGTGCGAAAATCGTCTGAGTCAATAGGCTGTGACTTTTGCAAAGTTTGCGTGTTGATGGCACGTCATTCAATGACAATACTGCTTCCAGTTGTTCCAGTGATGTAGGCGTTTTGTAAACTCCTCTTTTCAAATCACCCCATAGTAAGAAATGTAAGGGTTCAAATGTGGTGACCGGGGAGAGCAATCATCTGGACCTCCGCGACAGATCCACCGGTGACCGAACACCTCTTGGACATAATCCCGCACCGTTTGTGTATAATCGGTAGGTGCGCCCTATTGAAGCTATAACGACTGAAGCGATGCGCCGAAGTCGCCAACGAGAACCCGTGGTGAAAACATCTATATTGTATCTCTACATTACTTGCCAGTGACGGTTCCCTTACCATGTGTGAACTATGATTGGTAGAAAAATGGTGGTAATCATAATTGAGTTACTTGGCAAGAACGAGGTTAACGTCAAGTCTGCAATGGAAGTACGTGACCCTGGCTTGCAAGAAGCGCCTAACGCGGCCCGCTGAGTTTTAACGGTTTCGTCCACCGATGTCAACTTTACAATAAACATCACATCAAAAACATCACACAGCAGGTCCTCCACTTTGTCGGGCAATTGAGCCATCAACCGTTTCTCACATACCTGTCTTTTTTATTTTCTCTTGACGTTCATTCTACCTCGATGAAGTGTTGGCACCATTGCCCATCTTCAACAATGTAAGCATCAGTTTTAGCATCAGTTTTATCTGTTTATCTATGTTACTAAGTGCGGACCCTATATATTGCGTGTTGTGTTTTGCCTGTATTGCGTAGCGACTGAGGAGAGCAATCGAAATGTTAACATATGACAACCTATATCTTCTTACTGCCTTAATAAGTCCGCTTAAGTGAAATATGTAGCTGTATACTGAGCGTCTGGTTCTGCTCAATCAACACAACTACACGGAATACAAACGGCAATAATCTGTGTGTGCTAGCAGGCCATAATATCGCCTCATCGTATACCATGCCAGCGATATTTTCTCGGCACAGTGTCTCAGACGGCTTGTAGATCAGTCTATTGGTTGATGCTCGTGGTCGATGTCCTTAGTTTGACCAATCAGGCGACAGACAGAGGGCGATGACCTGAAACGGTGTCGCATAAATATCGTGGACTGACCGTTGCTATCGGATTTTGTGCAGTTTATGACCATGACGGGCTCCGCGGTAAAGACTGCGCTCTCCGAGTTTGCTGTTGATTTATATGCAAAAGTGTTGGCATGTCAAAAAGGTAAGCCATCTTTATGTTTCATCCCCTGAAGATGATCTGGAAAACACCTTCCTTTCACCAGTTAGCATTTACACCGCGTTGGCAATAACCATGGTCGGAGCGGATGGTGAGACGTTGCGTCAGATACGGCACACTTTGTGCATTCCCGGGAGTCTGGGCGACACTGAACTGCACAACTCTGTTGGATCGATAGTTCGAAAATGTTTTACCGGCTCAGAGAGTCTTGATCTTTCTTTGGCAAACCGACTATTTCTTCTCCGCCCTGCTGAAATAGAACGACAGTTTTCTAATACTGTGTCTAAGTGCTATGGCGCAGATGCCGAAGTGGTAATTCCTACCTTACTGTGCGGTGCAGTCGTTCAGCTTAGTTCGTTTCCAGATTTAGAGGCAAAGCGAAAACACATTAATGCCTGGGTTGCTACAAACACAAAGGACAAAATTAATGAGCTCATTCCCTCTGGAGCGCTTCAGCAGAACACAACGCTAGCGATAGTAAACGCACTATATTTCAGAGGTCAGATCACATTCAATTTTGCTATATACTGCGTTTGCCATCAGGTTCTTGGGAATATGTGTTTTGTAAGGATGTCACAACGGAGCAGGAATTTCACTGTTTAAATGGATCCAGCCGAAAGGTTCCGATGATGTACAAAGATGCAACCTATCCGTTCGTTGAGTTGAATGAGAAGGAGGCAGTAGCCGTAAAGCTCCCATTCAAAGGCGGCGAGTAAGTTGAACGTGACTAAATGGTTTTCTATGCTTAGTACTCACTGCGCAAATGACCGGTATATGCTCCATCGTCAGCTCGTCGGCTATCAGAGAAACCCAACTAATTCATCATTGTCACTCCCAATCAGCAGGCTTACACTAGTCTGGCGTTTCGACCTTCTGGGTCTCGTCAGTGGTGCGCCTCCCAGTGGACCCCTGCCGGGTTCCGCCCCCATGACTTCAGGATAGCAGCTGCTAGTGCCACTTCGCCATGGGTGACAGCCGTCGACCTGCGTGATTGACAGCTGACTATGATATAGCCTGGCTCATCTTCCACTGCCATGCCAGTTACGGACTGCGCAGAGGACAATGGCTAGCCTCACGAGCTAGGACGTTCCGCATAGCGCCTATGTACCACATAGGACTTAGAAGCTATACGGACATATTTTATAGTACTGATGAGTAATAGTGAGGATATTCGTATAATCCAGCCGGGCTATATCGTAGTCAACTGTTAATCACGCAGGTCCACGGCTGTCACCCATGGCGAAGTGGCACTAGCTGCTGGCATCCTGAAGTCATGGTGGACAGAACCCGGCAGGGGTCCGCTGGGAGGCGCACCACGAACGAGACCCAGAACGTCGAAACGCTGGCGTCTGGTGCTTTTCCAGACTAGCCTCAGCCTGCTGATTGGGAGTGACAATGACGAATTAGCTGAATTATACCACAATCCTCACTACTACTCATCAGTATCAAAAAACTGATCGTTTTATTGATATCCTGTAGAATTGTAGAATCGAATGGTTGCAGATGGTGTGTGTGAATCAGAATCTTTCCCTTCCTGCTCCAGATGGGAACTCTTGGTGGTGTTACCGAACGAGAACGATGGCCTTCGCAAACTTGCTCGCAGTCTTACGCAACCTGGAAACCTTTCCTCGATTTTGAGAGCCAACTTTGAACCAACGGAGATTGAACTACACCTGCCGCGGTTCAAGCTATCGCACACAAATCCACTGGACGTGAAGCAGCTGCTGGAGCAATGTGGAATACGGGCTTTGTTTGATGCGGATTCCGCTGATTTGAGCCATTTATGTAGCAGCCAAAAGTTGTATGTATCTGATGTTTGGCACAAAGCTGTTCTCGAAGTGAGTTCATACGACATACTAACTTGTTTGTTGGACTGTCGTGCGAGCACTCGCTTGCGTCTTTTTGAATACATTTGCATTTACCGACTTTTCTGTTTGAGTACATCAGTACGTTGTCGACGGCCTCCATGCATGGTAGCCTCTTACCACTTATCGGCTCTCTTGCAGCCTAGCATTTGTAATGGAAGGTCATCAGCGTTGCACAGACGATGAAGAGCAGCACTCAACAGCTAAATGCACAGCTGCAGCACAACTGGTCCTCAGTCAACGCTATCCCACTTCCAGTGCCCTCTCTCTGGGCTTCTTGTCCTAAACATGGCACCGGTACTGATTCGGAGGTACCGAGGTGCACCCAAACGACCTGCTACGAATTCAGACTGCTCGTGGTCGGATTTTCCACAGCGTAATTGTGCACTAACATTTTGACCGTACTACGCTAGTGACAGCCAGTACTTCTACTAAAACCATCGAACTGTTCGTTGTTCTACCACACCGCTGCCGCGATACAGAATACATTGATTCTCTTTTTAATACGATTGACTCAGTGGCGCGCCACTCTCTGCTGTCAAGGTGATTCTCCAACGCGGACGCACACCATTCACACAACAGAGTGGTTATTAGGTTGAAACTCATCTGACAAAGATACGTTAATCGTAAGACTGTCAACAGGTATTCGCACAAATGATTTTGTGTTTACCTATAGTCCATTACACCACCGTTGGAATGGTTTTTTCTAACGGAATTCGCCCCAACTTATGTTCCTACATGGGCGGCCCTTTCATCCAGCATGCCTTGTAATTGCTCAGTGAGTTACTTCACGCAGTCAGCTGAAATGCGGCCGTGTTTTCGAGCTCAGTGGTGATGACGATCATGAGTTGGAGACGCGTTCGACGCTGCAACAGAAACCGAATTTCGGAGTTTCAAACGTTTAGTATACAACGACATTATTGTTTATATACCCATCAGGCGGCACACAGCTCTGTTTTTGTCCAAGTTCCATATACTTGTTGTAGTCTTTCATTGCGGAGTAATATCCTTTGGTCACGGCATATGTGTT